TTCAAAAAGAGACGCAAGTTTCTCCTGGTGTCCTGACCAACAATCCCCTAAATAAAACTGGTCACTCACTCTATGGCTGTTTGTAGGACATTGCTGTGAGCAAATTGGCTGCTGAGTTTCATCCACAACACAGTGAATCCACTGTATAGTATATCCTGTGAAGTGCTTTGAGACATCTCAATGATGTGATAGAGCGCTACATCAAAGGATTATGCAAGGATTATTATTTTTATAATGATTTTGAAATCATTTGTTGTTCTTCTGTACCACCATTGTAATAGATAGCACTTGGTCATTGTTAAGGATCTTGTTATGCGTATGTACTGTAAACACACTTTGGTTTTATATGTGTTTCAAACTAATTTGGCCAAGTACAAAGGGAATATAGTTACTGTGGAACTGAAAAGTTATTTTGACAAATATTCCTGTCTACTGGATACTTTAAGTAAGATTATTTATTTTTTCAATTACAGCTAATGTAGCTAAATACAGCTTACAATTCACAATGTTATGATCTTTTAAAACAACAATAAATTACAAAATAACATTGAAAACTAACAATTATTGTACATACTTGCTATTGATTTTCTGAAATCTACAAAATTATGGTTTGAGAACTTCACGTAGATCAAAAACTATGCTCTAATATTACAGAATTCCCTGTCACCAGGAACTCAGCTTCCACTTCTAAAGAAACAGTGCAGTATGAGCCCATCATCAGTAACTTCACCTTTCTCTCTTTCCACCTAATTTCTCGGGGGTAATTTTGAATCAGTGCTTGCTTTTTCTTGGAAACCATTGGATATGTAGAGCATGAACAATGATCTGGGAACTGAAACCTAAAACATAAAGTTGGTAAACCTCATTAATGCAATTTGCTTGAAATATGTCGTATAAATGGGGATTCAGGCAATGCATATCAATAAGGCTGGAGCCCTTTCCTGATACCATGTGGAGGAGATGATTTTATCAGTAAGTGAGAAAATTAAAACATCCCTCGTGCTTTTATAATATTAATGAAACAAATAACAGATTTTGGTATGTGCAGTCCTGTAGAGTTGGGTTTGGCTGTGTTGCCCTGCACAATGAGTAAAGGCAGATCTTGCTGTTACTCACTGTCTAGGTTCACTCATAAAGAGTGGACTCTCTGGCAAGGGTAGTGGGCTATTGATTCTCTTGAATCATAACTGCAGCAAAAGTCTGCAGATTCAGGACCATGGAGCGAAGTTTGGCAAAAGAAAACCTGACTTAGAATTTTGTGAATGTGACCAGAGTAATTTTACTCTTCAAATTACTGTGCCGTCTTTTTAATATATAGTGTGAAGTTTGTATTACTAAAATTACTTATGCTTACATCTTCTTAATTTTTTTAAATATAAAATATATACAATTTGATAAATTGAAGTTGTTGGGCAGTATTTCATTTGGGAATATTTGCAAACAGAATTAAAATATGTTCATCACAGGAACACATTCATTTTACATAAGGTGCAATTCTTTGTCACATCCATAGGTAGAACTTTGTAAGAAATAAATTAAGAATAATGAATTCTGATTTTTGTTTGTGTCTCTAATCTTAATCCTAAAGTGAAAAATGATGCTTTTTAGGAAGTGTTTGTTTTTTTTAGTATGTATTCTTGTGGACAAGATATGCTTTACGGTAGTAGGATGAAACTTGATTGCAACAGCCCATGGCATTTTGAACTCAATTATTTTTCTATCAAAGTGGGAAGTAAAATGGTACATATGCCATATAACAAATACAGCTGCTCTGTTTCCCTACAGATTGTTTAGCCTCAGTTACTTATCCTTATCTATTATATCCCCATAACATATGGTGCAAATAAACACAGAAACACAGAAAATATACATGCTATATGTATAATTATATGCCACATCCTTTTCAGAGCCTTTTGCTAAATCCATTACTTTAATACACCAATTGCGTTATCCTGATAGGCATTGGATGCCTTTCCTTTGACATGCAGTAAATGTCTTTCTGAATACGAATAGATATGCCCTTCAGATGACACGTTGAACCAAGGTCCCATCTGTCTGTTCAGGTAATTGATCCGATGGTACTATTCAGGTTAATGATTACATGGTACTATTAGAAAAGAGAAGGGAGTTTCTCTTGGTGTCCTGGCCAACAATCCCCCAAATGAAATTGGTCACTCATTCCATGTGGGATATTGTTGTGTGCAACTGGCTGTCATATTTCACCCACAAAATACAGTCATCATAGAATCATGCAGTACAGAAGGAAGCCATTCGGCCCATTGAGTCTATGCCGGCTCTTTTAAAAATACTATCCAAGTCAATCCCACTCCCCCGCTCTCTCCTCGTAGCCCTGCAAATTTGTCTTCCCCAGTCAATCCATTTTGCAGTATATCCTGTGAAGCACTTTGAGACATCTCAACGATGTAATAAGGCACTATATCAAATGCAAGGATTATTATCATTATATTATTCTGGAGTCCTGTAATAATAATAATAATAATCCTTGCATTTGATATAGCGCTTTTCACGTCAGGAGGACGTCCCAAAGCGCTTCACAGAACACACTGTAAAGTGAATTGACTGTATATTTGTGGGCGAACGCGGCAGCCAATTGCGCACAGCAATGTCCCACAAACAGTCGTAGATTGAAAATGACCAATTTAATTATTGTTTTTGTTTTTTGGAGGGATTATTATTAGGCGTGTGGAGTAAGGAAACTTGCCCAAGGTTTCGCCCTGACCTGCCTGGAATTGAACTCAGGTCTCTCACTTGCAAAGCGAGTGCTCTAACCACTGAGCTACAGGACTCCACTGTAGCTCAGTGGTTAGAGCACTCGCCTTGCAAGTGAGAGACTTGGGCTCAATTTCCGGCAGGGCGAAATGTTGGGCAAGTTTCCTTATTCCACATGCCTCTGTTTACCTAGCAGTAAGTAGGAGCCTGGTAGTTAGTCGATTGGCGGTTTGCTTTTCCAGGGGTAATAATTCCTTCAAAAAAAAATTGGTCACTTCAATCCATGACTGTTTGTGGGGCATTGCTGTGTGCAATTGGCTGCCGCATTTCGCCCACAAAGTATACAGTCAATTCACTTTACAGTATATTCTGCAAAGTGCTTTGATAGGTCTCGAAGAAACGATAAGGCGCTATATGAAATGCAAGGGTTATTATTATATAGTCAGTTACTGGCAGGTTCTAAATTTAAAAAGTTGACCAAACAAAACTGCATTCAGGGACCCCAAACAGACTCTTGAAACTTTTGCAATAATATTTGGTAAAGGACTTCCACTATGGGTGTTGCCATCGAATGGGGGGTCTCACCTCATGCGACTCAAAACCATTTACTCCCTGAAATCAAGGACAGAAATGAACCTGCACAGGCAGACGACGTCTCAGGATTTGCTCTTGTACTGGTTTGGTTTAATCCTTGTTGTTTCTGTATTGTCGTGTCTTTTCGATTGACCTGATATGACAGCAACTCCCAGACCTCCCTGCACTGTGACTGACCAGGCTGGATGCTCTCACAGGTCATGTACCTGCAGCATTTACACCCAGTGAACCTCAGCTGCAAACGGGGAGGGGAGTGGGTGGGGGGGAAACCGGGGTGATGTGCACTGACTGTGTGACCTCTCACGTATTTTCCAACTCACTGCCCAAATAGCAAAAGCGCTCACATCTCTCAGTCGTTTAGTTACTTTTCTCTTTCGTTGCATTGTAAATGCACGGCCTCACCCCCCCCCACCTTCAAGATGACTGGTTTCGGGTTATTAACCAGTCTGCCTCTCTCACGTAGACTGAAATGTAAGCCTCTTCCTCATCAGTGTTCAAAAGTAAGTAAGCCTTACCCGTCCTTTAACCCCTCGACTGAAGCCTCTGTGGAAAGACTGGAGAAACAACAACAACAACAAGATTCCATCTATAGAGCGCCTTTCACGTCGGGAGGACGTCTGCAGAAATGTGCGATTATAATTCATCTGAAACAAGGCAGGAGCCTGGAGATCCCAACACAGTGAGAGAGGTGACTACTGCATCAGCCCTTCCCCTGTAACACAGCTGATCACACCGCTGGGGGTGGGGGTGTGGGTGGGGGTGTGGGGGGTTACACCTGTGTGGGGTATTCCATCGTCCTCTTCAAAACGCAAAATGCACGCAAACCTCTTTTAATGGTGTCAAAGGGAAGTCACTTGAACTGAACCTCAGCAAACAGAACAGAATGGGATGTCTGGCCAGACAGGAGAGAGAGAGGGAGGGAGAGAGGGAGGGGGGGGGGGGGAAGAGACACAGAGAGAGGGAGGGAGAGAGAGGGAGAGAGGGGGAGGGAGGGAGGGAGGGAGGGAGAGAGGGAGGGGGGAGAGAGAGAGAGAGAGGGAGGAGAGAGAGAGAGAGAGGGGAGGGAGGGAGGGAGAGAGAGGGAGGGGGAGAGAGAGAGAGAGAGGAGGGAGAGAGAGGGAGAGAGAGAGAGGGGAGGGGGGAAGAGAGAGAGAGAGGGAGGGAGAGAGAGGGAGAGAGGGGGAGGGAGGGAGGGAGGGAGAGAGAGGGAGGGGGGAGAGAGAGAGAGAGAGGGAGGGAGAGAGAGAGAGAGAGGGGAGGGAGGAGGGAGAGAGAGGGAGGGGGGAAGAGAGAGAGAGAGGGAGGGAGAGAGAGGGAGGGAGAGAGAGGAGGAGAGGGAGAAGAGAGAGAGAGGGAACGGGGGAAAGAGAGAGAGAGGGAGGGGGAGGGAGAGAAAGAGAGAGGGAGGGAGAGAGAGAGGGAGGGAGAGAGAGAGAGAGAGAGGGAGGGAGAGGGAGAGAGGGAGGGGGTTGATGTGGGAGCTGAGCCCAGTCTAATTGGACGGGGATCCAGGTCCTGATCGATACTCCGCTCCATACTTTGTGGCGAGTCAATGAAAGTGCTCCAGGGCTCCTCTCCCTCTCCTCTCCTCTCTCTCCTCTCCTCTCTCTCTCCTCTCTCCCACTCAGTCCATCCAAGGGCGCGATGCAATGAGGTGCCGACAAATCATGTTAGCGATGGGTTAGTGAACACAGACACAGACACACACAGTCACAGAGAGAGAGACACACACACACACACACACACACAGACAGAGAGAGAGACACAGACACACAGAGAACAAGGAGGGAGTGAATGCATCGCTGCTCCTTAACTAATAGTTTGTGGAGGGTTTTTTGTTGGGAGAGGGGGTGGTTTTTTTCGCGGATTCTCCCTCCCCCCCCCCACCCCCCCCCCCCCACCCCCACCCCCACCCCCTCCCCCACCCCCACCCCCACCCCCTCCCCCACCCCCTCCCCCCCACCCCCTCCCCCTCCCTTTCCCCTAAAGTGCAAATGCCTAAATAGAGAGAGAGAGAGAGAGAGAATTATGAGGCGAACTGCAACGAGCGGTGGAAATGATTTGGATGTGACGGGAGCAGTTTCCTCCGCCTCCGCCGCCGCCTCCTCCTCCCCCTCCGGCGGCTCCTCGTCCACCCGCAGCCGCTCACAGCGCCTCTCCCCCCCGACCAGCAACCCCGGGCTGCCCCCCCTCCCCCTCCCCCCGTGCAATCCTTACTGTGTTTATTACTCAACATGTCGGCTCCTCTCGGGCCTCGGGGTCCTCGCCAGTCAGCCCCCGCTCCCCCCCCTCCTCATCTTCTAGCTTCAGCCCCCGCTCCCCCCCCACCCCCACCCCCGGCCCCGGCCCCCGCAGACATGCCCGACCTGCCGGACCTCAGCCATCTGACCGAGGAGGAGAGGAAGATCATCCTGGCCGTTATGGACAGGCAACGCCAGGAGGAAGAGAAGGAACAGTCCATGCTCAGGTAAGGGCATCCCCACAAACAGCACTCACACACCACCACACTCACACCATCACACACCATCACATTGCACACACCATCACACACACCATCACACACACCATAACACACACCATCACACACACCACACACACCATCACACACCACACACACACACCATCACACTCACACCATCACACACCATCACATTGCACACACACACCATCACACACACCACACACACACACCATCACATTGCACACACACACACCATCACACACACACCATCACACTCACCATCACACACACCACACACACCATCACACTCACACCATCACACACACACCATCACACACACCATCACACTCACACCATCACACACCATCACACACACCACACTCACACACCATCACACACACCATCACACACACACCATCACATTGCACACACACACACCATCACACACACACCATCACATTGCACACACACCACACACACCATCACATTGCACACACACCACACACACCATCACATTGCACACACATCACCACACACACCATCACACACACCATCACATTGCACACACACCACACACACCATCACATTGCACACACACCACACACACCATCACATTGCACACACATCACCACACACACCATCACATTGCACACACACCACACACACCATCACATTGCACACACATCACCACACACACCATCACACTCACACCATCACACACACCATCACATTGCACACACATCACCACACACACCATCACACTCACACCATCACACTCACACCATCACATTGCACACACACCACACACACCATCACATTGCACACACATCACCACACACACCATCACATTGCACAGAGAGAGAGAGAGAGAGAGAGAGAGAGAAAATGTGTAGAAATGTCAAACGCACTGAAACAAAGCACTGGGATTGAGGACCTGAACACACTCTCTCTCTCTCTCTCTCTCTCTGTGTATTTCATGTGGACCAATTGGCCTACAAGCCTTGGGTTAGGGTTTGCAGCCGCCATCTTCCGCCTCTCAGTTAGTCCGGGCACTGGCTCTGGCTCTGGGGGGGGGGGGCAGGTTTTTATTTATTTTATTATTGAATCTCATGATTGTGTGTGTGAGTTGTATGGTGGGCAGAGCTGTCCTGTCCTGTGCTGCTCGTGGCTCTCCTTTTTGCACGTTGATGGGAACATCTTTGGGATAATATATACCCCCCCCGTGTCCTGCTCTCCCCCCCCACAACCACCCCGCAGCCCCCCAGCCCCCCAGCCCCCCAGCCCCAGCCCCCCAGCCCCCCAGCCCCCCAGCCCCAGCCCCCCAGCCCCCCAGCCCCGCAGCCCCCCAGCCCCAGCCCCCCAGCCCCCAGCCCCAGCCCCCCAGCCCCCCAGCCCCCCAGCCCCAGCCCCCCAGCCCCCCAGCCCCCAGCCCCAGCCCCAGCCCCCCAGCCCCCAGCCCCCAGCCCCCAGCCCCCCAGCCCCCCAGCCCCAGCCCCAGCCCCCCAGCCCCCAGCCCCCCAGCCCCCAGCCCAGCCCCCAGCCCCCAGCCCCCAGCCCCAGCCCCCCCAGCCCCAGCCCCCAGCCCCAGCCCCCCAGCCCCCCAGCCCCAGCCCCAGCCCCCAGCCCCAGCCCCAGCCCCCAGCCCAGCCCCCAGCCCCAGCCCCCCAGCCCCCCAGCCCCAGCCCCCCAGCCCCAGCCCCAGCCCCAGCCCCCCAGCCCCCAGCCCCCCAGCCCCCCAGCCCCAGCCCCCCAGCCCCCCAGCCCCAGCCCCCCAGCCCCCAGCCCCCCAGCCCCCAGCCCCCCAGCCCCCAGCCCCCCAGCCCCCAGCCCCCCAGCCCCAGCCCCCCAGCCCCCAGCCCCAGCCCCCCAGCCCCCCCCAGCCCCCCAGCCCCCCAGCCCCAGCCCCCCAGCCCCCAGCCCCCAGCCCCCCAGCCCCAGCCCCCCAGCCCCCCAGCCCCAGCCCCAGCCCCCAGCCCCCCAGCCCCCCAGCCCCAGCCCCCCAGCCCCCAGCCCCCCAGCCCCCCCAGCCCCCAGCCCCCCAGCCCCCCAGCCCCCCAGCCCCCAGCCCCGCAGCCCCCCAGCCCCCAGCCCCGCAGCCCCCCAGCCCCAGCCCCGCAGCCCCCAGCCCCGCAGCCCCGCAGCCCCCAGCCCCAGCCCCAGCCCCGCAGCCCCCAGCCCCCCAGCCCCGCAGCCCCGCAGCCCCCCAGCCCCCCCAGCCCCAGCCCCCCAGCCCCAGCCCCGCAGCCCCCCAGCCCCAGCCCCCCAGCCCCAGCCCCGCAGTGGGTCTCCCCGCCTGTGTGTGTGTGCACAGCTCGGCCCCAACACCGAGCTGAAGCCCAGCGGCTGCTGGTGCCTCACAGCGGCCTCGGTGACATGATTCAGGACCACACAGCGGCGGACAGCGCCAGCACTGGAGAGCCTGGCAGGCAGGGCAGGCAGGCAGGGGAGGGCAGGCAGGGCAGGGGAGGCAGGCAGGGGAGGGCAGGCAGGGGAAGCAGGCAGGGCAGGGGAGGCAGGCAGGGGAGGCAGGCAGGGGAGGCAGGGGAGGCAGGCAGGGCAGGGGAGGCAGGGCAGGGCAGGGAGGGCAGGCAGGGCAGGGGAGGCAGGCAGGGCAGGGAGGCAACACAGGCAGAGCAGGCAGGGCAGGCAGGCAACACAGGCAGGGCGGGCAGGCAGGGCAGGGCGGGCAGGGCAGGGTGGGCAGCAGCACAGGCAGGGCAGGCAGCACAGGCAGGGCAGGCAGGGCAAGCAGGGCAGGCAGCACAGGCAGGGCAGACAGGGCAGGCACTGCTAGAACTCGACTGTCAACCAGGCTGTCATCAAACAGCCAGAGCCACAGCCAGAGCTACAGCCAGAGCCAGAGCTACAGCTACAGCTACAGCCAGAGCCAGAGCCAGAGCTACAGCCAGAGCCACAGCTACAGCCAGAGCCACAGCTACAGCCAGAGCCAGAGCTACAGCCAGAGCTACAGCCAGAGCCACAGCTACAGCCAGAGCCAGAGCCAGAGCTACAGCCAGAGCCAGAGCTACAGCCAGAGCTACAGCCAGAGCCAGAGCTACAGCCAGAGCCAGAGCTACAGCCAGAGCCAGAGCTACAGCCAGAGCTACAGCCAGAGCCAGAGCTACAGCCAGAGCCACAGGTAGAACCACACTCTGAGCCACTCTGAGAGCAGGAGTCACTCCCGAGCCTCGGCCCCAGACTGAGTCACAGCAAAAGGCAGCCTCGTCCAACCAGCCCAGAGAGAGAGCAGCTCTGGACCATAACTGATACCACAGATTAGAGAGAACTTGGACAGCAGCAGAGGGGCAATCAATACACGTCTCTTGTGTGCGCGCGTGTGTAAGTGTAAGAGAGAAATGAGCTAAAGTACTGTGGGGTATCAGAAGTCACTCACTCTCTTATCAAGTAATTTTGGTAACGTTTTGGAAGCTTGTGTCTCGCAGAGACATAAAGCGAAGCAGCCTCTGCTACAACTAGGCCTGTTAAAATAACTGGCATCTATTCTGTGGGATTGCATCAATTATTCTCCTCCCCTCAAACAAACCCTATTTTCCAAATACTATTTCCTTCCAACTGGCTATTTCAGCTCTTGATACATGTATGGTTGCTGTAATGTTCAAATAATCATTGCCGCTTCCTGTGAAAGGAGAGAATTAACTGGCTCCTGTAATGTTTTCTTGTAAAATTAAGTTGCTGGGTTCAGTGTCTTTAATTATTTAGTCTGCGGATTCAAAGAATGCAAAGAGAATATGAAGTATTAGTTACCTACTGGTGAATCTGCTTTAGTGTTTGGGTTATAGAATGACATTGACAGTTTATATAGTAGGTGCATAGTATCCACTGTACTGAAGGCACCTCGTGCTCACTTCCAGTATAAGGTCGAATGACAACAATATGATCAAGTTTTGTACCCAGGTAAATGCAATACAATCTAGAATGAAAATGTTGCATTGCAACATTAAAAGGAAAAAAATCCCTTGAAATTGAACACTTCTACCATTTCTTAACTCCATTTTGTTGTCAAAGCTTTTTGTTATTGTTGTCTGAGACCATGTTCTGATTTTGTTTTATTTTGCAGTTGACATGTTATTTAAAAATAAGAAGATAGCAGTGTAAGGAAATGCATCATCTATGCTTTCATGTAAATACTATCTTGGATTTGAAGATCAGGCTATGAAGGTGCATCCAAAAATGTCTGGTTTCTAAAGGTGTTATTTGGTGCTATGTCCTCCAGGCAGTGAATTTGATGATGCGGCGCTATTTCTGCATTGTTTGGTAAAAATAGCAAATTTGTCCCTGAATTTTAATATTAAATAACATGAATTAAAAATGAAATTCAAACTTAAAAGCGAAATATATTTTAGGATTATATCAAATCCAGTAAACTTACTGAACAGAGCAGTCAAGGCTGAGTTCTCATCCATGAATTCATGGCATGAAGTGCAATTAGAATAACCTACAATGTACTGTGATTGAAAAAAATTGAAAGTGAATTTGACAAATTCATATTCAGATCAGCTTGTATGCTTTTGGAAATGGAACTAAGTAACATTTGTATCAAACTCATTTTAGGAATTAGAGTTCTGTGGTATAGCCAGAAGACTGTCCTAACTGATGCCAATCAGTTTGAGTGGTTTGAGCATAGTATTCCAATCCTATATCTTTTTCATTAGACAGTCTCACGATTTATATATGATATATACATATATTTGTATTGAAAATACACAATGATTAACATCTCATCAGTGCTACTGGCACAGGTTAGTGGTTGGCTCAATGACTTGATTGGTACATTTCAAGTTGTTTGAGCTTTTTATACCATGAGCTACTTTTGAGAACAAAATCTTGATGAAAATAAATTAGTGTTTTATTTGTTTGCTAGTTTCAAGTGTGCTTAGGCTGATTTGGAGTTCTAAGAGTAATTATACAATACATATATTTTACATATGCATATAATATTTATTGATGGGGTTTAATATCATAACAGTTGTGTTTGTTATTTGCATTTTCTTGCTGGTATACAAGAAATGCATATTGGTTAAACCCTATCCAGTTAATGGAAATGAAAAGGGCAAACGAGATTGAAACTATAATAATCCTTAGCACTTTTCACGTTAGAGAATGTCTCAAAGTGCTTCACAGGATGTATTGTAAAATGCAGTTGTTTTGTGGGCAAACCTGGCAGCTGATTTGCACACAGCAATATCCCACAAATACAACAACAACAAGATTCCATTTATTGAGCGCCTTTCACGTCGGGAGGACGTCCCAAGGCGCTGTACAGTTGGGTCAGGACCCGAGCAGGGGGGAAATGGTCAGGGTGAGGGGAGGGAAGGGAGGAGCGAGGAGGGGGTAGAGAGTCGAGAAGAGAGCTGAAGGCACGGTCAAAGAGAAAGGTCTTGAGACCGGCCTTGAAGGAGGAAAGGGAGGAAGCGGCGAAGGCACTGGGGGATGGAGTTCCAGAGCCTCGGGGCTGAGAGGCTGAAGGCCCGACCACCGATAGTAGGGCGGTTGGGGCGGGGGATGTGGAGCAGACCGGAGCCAGAGGAACGGAGGGTACGGGCGGGTAGGTAGGGGGATAGTAGGTTGGAGAGGTAGGAGGGAGCAAGGCCGTGAATGGCCTTGTAGGTGAGGGTGAGGATCTTGAATTCGAGAATTTGAAATAGCTATGATGTGAGTGACCAATTTTATTTGGGTGATTGTTGGCCAGGACACTGGGACAAACTCCCTTCTCTTTTTTGCATAGTGCCATGGGATCTTAACTGTCCACCTGAACAGGCACACAGGGCCTTGGTTTAATGTTTCATCCGAAGGATGGCACCTCCAACATTGTAGCAGCCCCACACTGCATTGAAGTCATCTTAGACTATGAATTTCAGGTCCTGAAGTGGGACTGAACTGAAGGAGACTCCAAGGAGAGAGCACTACCAACTGAGCCAGGCTGACGCAACAAATGCATCAAAAATGGTAGCATTCTAAAAAAAATTGTTTCTATTAATTCTTCCTTTAAAAAGTAGTATCATTTCTCAGCACATAACCAGGATATAACTGAGGACCTGAAATTTGATTCATAATATCCTTGAAAGATTATAGCACAGAATGAGACCATTTGACTCATTAGGCGTTTGCTGGTATTAACTTTTCCACTAGATCTATTTACTTAAATCTCTTTTCCCTGCTCTTTCCCACTTAATATTATTCTTCCTCAAGTACTTCTTCAAGTTACTTTTAATGCAGTTGTGGCCTAAGATGCAACAATAACTTTTATAGGGCACATTTTTATATCCCTCTTTGTAAAACAATATGTATTTGTAAGCAGTTAGGCCAGAAAGTTGTGCCATTCATACAACAACAACAAGTTGTGCTTAAATAGCGCCCTCCATGCAAGGTAGCGTCTCAGAGCGGAAATACCTTTGACAATGCACTATACCTTTTCTCATTGCATTGCATGAGTGATATGAAATCTTGTATGTCTCTGACCAGCAATTTTTCAGATTAATTAATTAATCACTTACCTCTTTGTTAGACTTTGTTCGGATAGATGGTTGCCTACAAGAACAGTCGCTACATTTGACAATAATTATCTCTGAAACACTTTTTTGATGTTTCAACATGATAAACTACTATAAAAATGTAATCTATGTGACTTTTATTTCTGGGTGAGCAGCTATCGATTATCAGTTGAAAAATTGACATTGATTGTCATTGTGAATTTGTCAGCAGCCTGGATATCAATATTTGCCTGCAAAACACATAGTCGCTGGACTTCATGGTAAATCCTGTCAAGCACTTTGAGACGTCCTCTTGATGTGAAAAGCAATGTATCAAACTCAAGGATTATTATTACAATTATATGTCAGTAATGTGTAATGTGTATATATCATTGGTGGTTCCTATCTCTTAAGACATCTGATGTTGGTGCAAACATTCCCAGAAAACCACCCTGCAATTCGGCATGTATTATTAAAAGAAAAAAAAGATGCACAAGGGTGACTTCAAGTCTGTAATTTCATCTCTGGGTTCAGATGCCTGTTATAAACTGCTTGTACTTTACTCTCTGTGAATCACGCTGTCATCTGAACCCCCTCCACCCTTCTCTTGATGGGATTACTGCCTAGTAATCACTCCAGGTATCTATTATTTTCTATATAGATATTGTCAGTAGTACTACCGCATTCCTTCTTCCCTCCTCCCTTCCTTACACCAATGTGGAGCTCAAAGCGCAGTAAGAAATTAACTTCTGAAAGACAAGAAAGAAACATTGGTGAATTTTGCTACACTGTTTACCAAGCAGTAAGTAGGAACCTGGTTGTTAGCCAATTGGCGGATCGCTTTTCTGGGGGTAATAATTCCTTCAAAAAAAAATAATAAATTGGTCACTTCAATCCACGACTGTTTGTGGGACACTGCTGTGCACAATTGGCTGCCGCATTTTGCCCACAAAATATGCAGTCAATTCACTTTACAGTGTATTTGGTGAAGCACTTTGAGACGTCTCGAAGACGTGATAATGTGTTCTTATCAAATGCAAGGATTATTATTGTTGGAGCTGCTGGTGCAAGAGTGTTTAAAAATAATTAAATTTCTCCTGACGACAGGGAAACATTTGCAACATTTGTGGTTCTGTAGTTCTAATTGATGAACATTGCTCACAAGTACAAAATCTTTATACTGGAAATCTTAATTGGTGGAAAAATTAGAAACAGCACCTGCCTTTGTAATAAGGCCTAAATTTCCATCTGTTGTGGCAAAAGTAACTTTTGTTCCTCATTTTGAGCAATAATTATAATCTGGCCCAAGTGTTGTGTTAAGTGTATGTTTCTTTGAAAGATTACATTTGAATTGCAGTGTGGAAGTAAAGGGACAAACAGCACATCAAAACATCTCGAAATGGGTTGCAGTCACATATTTTAGGTCCAACTGTATGTATATTGGAAGTTAAAATCAAGAAGTATTTTCTAAAGCCATATGACACTCATTGGCAATGCTTTCTATAGAGTTCTCAACGCTAGGTTCTGTTGAAGTTCCACATTGATGATAGCCTCAGGCTATACGGCTTAAACGTAGTGGGGACTATTCTGCTCAATGCACTTTATGTTGTAAATTCATTGTTGTGGGCTGAATACTATTCTCTTCCATTTGCTAAAGTTAGCAAATTTATTCCTTCGTACTTATAAATAATTGTAATACAATTTTAACTAATAAATAATGGATTTTAAATGGTGCAAGGAGTAGAATGTTCTGTCCTCCAACACTAATATTCAGTGGGCATAGTACAAAATAGGCAGAATGAAAAATCAATTGCAATTTACAAATTCTTTGTATTTCACTGTAGTTTCTCATTGCTTAGTTAACACTGCACAAAATGTTACATTTTCAAGTGCATTCTCCCTGGCTGGCATCACAGGATAAACTGAAGCACATTCCCGCCCTTATTCAAATAGAATAAACCTTTCTCATCCCTCCCACTGGTTCACTGGGGTTACCTTTTGGTGTGCAATTTGAATGCATTCATGCTCATGATTGGATTACTCACATGCTGGTCATTGTTTCTTGCTTGTGCTTCTATATTGATGATTCATGTCGGGAGTTGTTTTTCAATTTAGTGAGTGGTCCATTCATCTGGCAACACTGACTCAGATAAAGTTCAAATAAAACTAGCCTCTTTCCTGTCCATGTAGTACAGTAGTTGTTCAGTTGGATGCTGTGACTCATATCCACTCAGAGGAAAAAGACCATATAGTTTGAAGAACTTAGAATCATAGAATTATACAGCACAGGAGGAGGCCATTCGGCCCATCGTGTCAATGCCGGCTATTTGAAAGAGCTATCCAAATTAATCCCACTCCCCCACTCTCTCCCCATAGCCCTGCAAATTTGTCCTCCTCAAATATCTATTTACTTCTCTCTTGAAAGCTGTTATCGAATCGTCTTCCACTACCCTTTCAGGCAATGCATTCCAGATCCAAACAACTTTCAGTTTGTGTCTTCCAAACACTCAGTGAAGTCTGCTTCCTCTTCTCCATAAACTATTTATGAAAAGCAGGTATTAGTTTAAAAATAGTTCTTAACCCAGAGTACCTGAAGCATCTTATTTTAATTGTGCGCATTAATTCAACTCCTTCACACAGTCAGAAATAGTAACTCCTTTGTGCCAGTTTTCTCCAAACAGTGTCGTGAGCAGATCACTGTTGAAGAAGCAGGAAAAGCCAGAAGTTGTTTAGACTTATTTTCCTTCCTC